AATTTCGCTCTTTTTGTTCAGCCTAGAGTGTATATGGCGCGATCTCAGTTCACTGCAACCTCTGCTTCCCAGGTTTAAGTGATTCTCCTGCCTCAGCTGGGATTACAGGCATACGCCACCATGCCCAGCTACTTTTTGTATTCTTAGTAGAGACAGGCTTTCTCCATATTGGCCAGGCTTGTCTCGAACTCCAAGCATCAGGTGATCCGTGTGCCTCAGCTTCCCAAAGTGCTAGAATTACAGGCGTGAGCCACTGATAGATTTTAAGCAGAAGAAAATGTGACTTTTATAACGATCACACAGCTGTGGTGTGGAGAACAGGTTGTTGGGGGAAAGATGGAGTGTGGAGAAGGGTTAAGAAGATCTTGCAGGAAAGAGATGGAGAAGAGTGAGAGTAGAGATGGAGAGTAGATGTGGCAAGAGATAATGATTGGGGCTTGGCAACTGACTGGATGAAGGAAAGCAAGGGATAGGATAGTGTCAAGGATAATTCACAGATTTATGGCAGGAACAGCCAGTTGCCTGGACATAGATTTACTGAGGAAGGCCTTGGAGGAATAAAACACTTGAGAGAATGTCAGTTTGGGACATGCTAAGCATGAGATGCCTGTAAAACATCCACGTGGCGGTGTTAGGGAGGTAGATGTCCAAGTTTATAGCTCAGAGGAGACTGGACTAGAGGACTGGACATTTGGGAATTGATGATATGGTGTTGATACATAAAGAGGTGGGACCAGATGAGATCTTCCAGAGAAAACAAGTGCTGCAGTGAGGAGGAGCGGGAGCCTTGCACGTGAGGAACTCTCACATTTAGAGGGCGACAGAGAAGGGGACAGAGAAAGGGCCTTTGAAGAAACGGCCAGAGAGATAGAAGGATACTAGGAGAGAATGTCTCAGAAACCAAATTTGGTGCTGCTGAAAGGGCACCAAAAAGGTGAAACCATGAGAAATTGCCCTCTCTTTTTTTGTAGATCAAAACTAGGCAAAAGGGCCGGGTGTGGTGGCTCATACCTGTAATCCCAGCACTTTGGGAGGCTGAGGTAGATGGATCACGAGGTTAGGAGTTCAAGACGAGCCTGGCCAAGATGGTGAAACCCCATCTCTACTAAAAATACAAGAACTAGCCAGGTGTGGCAGCAGGCACTTGTAATCCCAGCTACTTCGGAGGCTGAGGCAGAGAGTTGCTTGAACCTGGGAGGCAGAGTTTGCAGTGAGCTAAGATTGCGCCACTGCACTGCAGCGTGGGCAACAGAGTGAGACTCCATCTCAAAAAAAAAGACAAAATTGGCAAGCTCATATGGTTCAACTTAATTAGACCAAAACCTGGAAATTTTGGTCTAAGAAATTTTGGGGCCAGGCACAGTGACTCACTCCTGTAATCGCAGCACTTTGGGAGGCCAACATGGGTAGATTGCTTTGAGCCCAGGAGTTTGAGACCAGTTTGGGTCTCGAACCTGGAGCTCAAAACATGACAAACCCACATCTCTACTAAAAATAAAAAAAAAAACAAAAAAAAAAAAGAAAAACTAGCAGGGCATGGTGGTACAGGTCTGTAGTCCCAGCTATTCCAGAAGCTAAGGCAGAAGGATGGCTTGAGCTGGGGAGGTGGAGGTTGCAGTGAGCTCATATCATGCCACTGCATTCCAGCCTGGGTGGCAGAGCCAGACCCTGTCTCAAAAAGAAATTTTGGTGGAGATATTAGAGAAGCCAGACTTGAGAAAGGGAGAAGTAGATAGAATTCGGATAAGAAGGCAGTAGAACTGACGGACTTGGTGGTTGACTGGGTGCAGCAGGTAGGGGTGAAAAAGAGCAAAATCAAGGGCATGCTCCCAAACAGACCTTTGGGAGTCAAAAGTACGTAGATGGGGATGGAACATGTCAACAAGTATGTATTGAGCACCCACCTAGTGTGGGCATTTTTCTAGGTGCTAGGGCATGAACAAGACAGAGTGTCCCCCTCCTCCCCACCTTGCTTTGGAGCTTCCATTTTATGGGGCAGACAGACAATAGGCAAATAAGCACAAATAATGCTAACGGTGCTATGTAGGGTTAGGGGCATCGATAAGTCTTCTTTGCTGTAGGTTAGTCAGGGAAGGGCTCTCTGATGTAACATTTGAGTGGAGCTCTGAGGAGTGACTGGACAAGCCATGGATGTCTGCAGAACACAAAATGCCTGTCCTGGGTAGGTGCACAATACATACTTGTTGACATGTTCCATCCCATCTACATCATTTTGACTCCCAAAAGTCTGTTTGGGAGTCAGGAGCATGTGGGTAGAGACAGGAGGAAGCTCTGCAAGTCTGAGGGACAGCAAGGTGGCGCAGGAGCAAGCCAGCCAGGAAGGACTGGGGAGGCTGGAGAGCCTGGCCAGAGGAGGATGGAAAGTGCTCTGCAGATAGCCCCAGGCTGCAGGAAGGGCAGGAACTGGGGAGAGGAGAGAATCCATAAAAGGCTTCCCCTTCTATCTGGGCCCCAGAGCCAGAAAAGCCCCTTTGTGCAGAGGGTGGGTGGGCTGTTCTGGGTGGGGGAAGGGCTGTGCTTGGTCATGAGGCTGCTCCTTGAGGGGCTGGACAATGGGGCTCCTTGTGGTTGGAGGCTAAGGGGCCCCCTCACTTATGGGATTTCTAAGCCAGGAGGCATGTGACCTCAAGACCTTGCCAGAAGGTCTGGGGCTGCTGCTAGGGAATGGGGTAGGGGGATGGGGAGAGGTGGGGGGCACTCCTCTAGAGGCTGTCTCCAGAGACAGTACCCTGTCCTGTCTCAGGCTGGAGGAGGTAAGAGATGGGCGGGGGAGGGGGCATGGTTCTGGGAGAACAGAGAGGGCAGCATCAACAGATGGTTCCACAGCAGGCCAGGAGGGAGGAGCTGCTGCCCCCAGGTCCAGTGGGTGAGTGCAGACGGAAGAGGGCCTGGCCATCCTGTCTGTCTGTGTCCCTTCAGAAGAGGAGAGAGCATGGAGCTGGAGAGGATCGTCAGTGCAGCCCTCCTTTCCTTTGTCCAGACGTACCTCCCGGAGGCCGACCTCAGGTAGAGACAGCTCCCTGGGAAGGTTCACGTCAGTGCCACAGCTGGAGCTGCCTGGCAGTGCTATGAGTCCTGGCTGATGGAAAGATGGTGGGAGGGCTGATTACAATTTGCTAAGAGGCCTTCCTGCTCATCCTGTCCCTGTTACCTTTGTTGGGCAGAGGGGAAACCATAGCTCTGAGAGAGGGGGTTACACTTTTTGGCCTCAAGGATTAAGGTCTAGCTCATGAACCCCATGAAGCTGAAGGCTGGAGTTTCAGGATAGGTGGGGATGCTGGAGGTATCCAGTGTCCTACCCAGGGCTTGTCCTGTCCCCTTCCTGCAGTGGTTTGGATGAGGTCATCTTCTCCTATGTGCTCGGGGTCCTGGAGGACCTGGGCCCCTCAGGCCCATCAGAGGAGAACTTCGATATGGAGGCCTTCACTGAGATGATGGAGGCCTATGTGCCTGGCTTTGCCCACATCCCCAGGTAGGTTCTGGCTGGGGCCAGGAGGAGGAAGGGGCTGGCTGATTATGGGGTGGGTAGAGTTGTCTTCTCTCACTACCCTTATGTTTTCAGGGGCACAATAGGGGACATGATGCAGAAGCTCTCAGGGCAGCTGAGCGATGCTAGGAACAAAGGTGAGTCTGAGGCTGTAGGCACCTGGGTGATTCATGACCCCTCCCAATTCCCTACTCCCCAGAGCGCTGGCAAACCTGATGCTCTCTCTGCCTCTTTAAGAGAACCTGCAACCGCAGAGCTCTGGTGTCCAAGGTCAGGTGCCCATCTCCCCAGAGCCTCTGCAGCGGCCGGAAATGCTCAAAGAGGAGACCAGGTCTTCTGCTGCTGCTGCTGCTGGGGACACCCAAGATGAGGTACTGGTAGAGGAGGGTAGCAATGAGGGACTCAGGGGCCTGGAAAGGGGGAGTATTGCCTTTTGTTAATGCTTGTACCCTTAGGCAACTGGTGCTGAGGAGGAGCTTCTGCCAGGGGTGGATGTACTCCTGGAGGTGTTCCCTACCTGTTCGGTGGAACAGGCCCACTGGGTGCTGGCCAAAGCTCGGGGGGACTTGGAAGAAGCTGTGCAGATGCTGGTAGAGGGGAAGGAGGAGGGGCCTGCAGCCTGGGATGGCTCCAACCAGGTATCTTCTCCCAGCACCCCCCACCATGTAGCCTCGGCTACATTCCACCTCGGTGTTAAGCCCCGACCCCTACCTATCCCTGTCTGTTTCCCCTGCTGGTGCCCTTGGGCAGACCAGGCCTCCCCTCTCTGCAGGACCTGCCTAGACGCCTCAGAGGCCCCCAAAAGGATGAGCTGAAGTCCTTCATCCTGCAGAAGTGAGTCTGGGTTGGGCTGGGCTGTCCCTAGAGGGTCTTCCCAGGGTGACAAGAGCTTCATCCAGCCAGTTTTTGGCAGGTACATGATGGTGGATAGTGCAGAGGATCAGAAGATTCACCGGCCCATGGCTCCCAAGGAGGTGAGAGTTGGGGTTACTGGGGATGTGGAATGGGTGGGACTGGCTCCTGGCTTCTGCCACTCACTGCCTGATTTCCTGACAGGCCCCCAAGAAGCTGATCCGATACATCGACAACCAGATAGTCAGCACCAAAGGGGAGCGATTCAAAGATGTGCGGAACCCTGAGGCTGAGGAGATGAAGGCCACGTACATCAACCTCAAGCCGGCCAGAAAGTACCGCTTCCATTAAGGCACTTGCTGGACTCTGCCCCGGCCTTCTAGGCTTAGATCCCAGAGGGATGCAGGAGCCCTACAGCCCTACACATAGGCCCCCTAACTCCTGTCCCCATTCTCTACTTCTTTGCTCCATAGTGTTAACCTACTCGGAGCTGCCTCCATGGGCTCAGTAAAGGTGGCCCAAGGAAGGTGTGAGTGCATTCTGGTCATTTCTGCCTCAAGACTGTCTGACACTAGGCCTATCTGACCTTCCCTCCCAAACCTTGAATCCTCTATCTTCGACAGGGCAGCACCAGGCAAAAGGGGGTGAAAAGCTCTTTATTTGAAGCTCCAGGGTGGGGCAGGGCACTGGCCTCTCACCAGAGGACCCCACGGTTCGGTTTCCCTACCGCTCAGTGTCAGGCCCCAGCCACACAGTCCAGCTGTGCTCCGATTGGCAGAGTCAGACCTGCAGGTTGACAAAAGGTGCGAAGCCCGCCATATCCTGCAGCAGCACCAAGGCCTGGTGCAGCGGCGGCTCCACGTCGATGTCCACGCCGCGTTTCCGCAAGCGGCTCAGGCTGGACTCGGCCACATGGTGGCAGTGCCGCACTCGCAGCGAGCGCAGCGCCGGGCAATACTCGGCCAGTGTCCTGAGGGAGGAGCAGGATGAGGCTAGCGGCAAGAGGCCACCACACCCTTGGTGGGGCAGGGTGGGGGCCCGGGCTCACTCAGCCTCGGACTAGCTCCGGCAAAATCCCGGTCTCCGTCCAGTTCGGGGCAGGGGCATACTTTTTCCGTCCCACACAAGGGAGGCGCCTGGATTGGATTCAAGGGAGGCGGAGACTTCCTGTCTCATTTAAGGGGGGAACCTGTCCCTCAGCTCCGCCTAGAATTGCAAGGTTTCCCCCTCGTTGAAGAAAAGCCAGAAGTCGACTTTCTATGTGAAATCTCCCAATGTGTAAATACTGGTTCAAAAAGTTTTTAAACTATGGGCTCTCTGGCCTAAGGGGGTCCGGAAGGCAATCCTAGAGGATTTTTCTGTTCAGAATGGGGGTTCTGTGGTTGGCAGGAAAATTCAGAACCCTCAGTCCGTCCTTTTAGCAACTACAGCCCGCACCATACCTTCAGAGGCTAAGTGAGACTGCCTTCCTCCCACCCTCCCGCCCCACCAGGCCCAGGCACCTGACACCGTCGCTTCCGACGCGGAGGCAGCCGGTGAGGTCAAGGTGCTGGAGTTCTGGGCAGTTCCGAGCCAACTCTTGAACCGCGGTGTCCCCCACGTTGGCGTTGACGGCCAGCGAGAGGCTGCGGAGGCCAGCGCCGCGCCTCTGCGCTAGGTACACGATGGCCTCGTCCTTGAGCTGGCGGCAGGCGGTGAGGTCCAGCTCCTCCAGGGCCGGGCAGCGGTCGGCGAGGCCGCGCAGCGCCAGCCCGTCCACCCAGTCACAGTGCGCGAGCGACAGGCGCTGCAGGCGTGGGCAGCCCTCGGCCAGCGCCCCAAGCGCCCGGCGACTCAGTTGCCCGCAGCCGGCCAGCGCCACACTCCGCAGCTGCGGGTTCCGCGCTAGCACCGGCACCAGATCCTCGTCTGACAGCCATTCGTGACACGGCGCTAGCGCCAGCTCCTGCAGCCCCTCGGCGTCCCGCAGCAGCCGGGCCAATGCGGCCCGTGGGATCTGCGGACCCACCTGCGGGCGAGGAGGCACCCCAACTCTCAGCCCGTTCCGCACTCCTCAGCCGCCTATGCGCCCGTTCTTTCCTGGCAGCCGCCTGTTCTCCCAGGGGAGACCCCCACATTCCCTGAGTCGCTACCCAGTATTCGCCCTTTGGGAGTACTCCCTACTGCGTGGATCCCATCCCGGGCAGCTCCGGTGGCCTAAGGGGGTCAGGAAGGGCAAACAGTGGGGCTGGGGGCTGGCCTAGAGGCGGGGCGGAACTCAGGCAGGGGCGGAGCTTCAGCCCCAGGCTCACCTGCGCGGCGTCGAAGCGACGCAGCCCGGCCAGGTGAAGCTGTACCAGTGCCCGGAAGGCCCGGCTAACGCGCTGCAGCCGGAGCAGCTGGCGCAGCGGTACCCGGTTCAGGACGTGAGGGAGCAGCACGTCTTCCCAGGGCAGGTCCAGGAGCCTGCGAGTAAAGGGGCGTTGGCACTGGCATCCCGGGGCCACTATTACCTGCGAGTCCGCCTCCGTTATGCCCCTACGCCCAAGCTCCCAAGAGCGGCCCCCGGCCCCAGCCCCGGCTCGGCTCCCTTCTCTCAGGTTCCTCTTTCCTCTTTCCGTCCCTCCGGTGCTCGGTACCTGACGGCTCCGGGCTCTTGCTCCCCTCCGGACGGCTCCATCGGTGGCTCCTTCGGCTGTCTATTGCGCGTGCGCAGTACGCTTTCCTCGCTTTGGCCTTGGAGTGGCCGAGCCAAACCCGCCTCCTTGGCCTGTAGAGACAGACCGATTCAATCGAGTACCGTCTCACCGAGGATCCGATCTGAAAGCTTTTCGGATGGAAGCCGAAACGTAGGCGGAACAGACCGGTGGTGTAACATTAGACCTCGCCTTCTCGGCTACAGGGCTTCAGGCCCGAAGCTGGAGAAAGCGGTGGGCATCAGAGACTGACTGGCTTCTGCTGTCCTCTTGGGCCAGTGGCCGCCTCTGAGCGAAGTGGTGACGGGAGGAGGAGCAGGCAAGGCCAAAAGCGGAGGGGGCGGAGCCAGGACTCCTAGGTTACCGACCTCGCCTCTGTCCTCTAGTCGCATTTAGCGACTTTGAAAAACGGGGAGAAATTATCCAGGCTCTTACTGTCTGCCACTTAGCAGGTGTTCAATCAGTAATTGTTGAAATAATGAATGAATGGGCGAGGCTATAATTTTTCTTTCATCAAGTAAACCTGCTCAAACTTCCCATTCCTGGTTAATTGTGAAGAGCTATCCAGCCTCTTCCACTTCGATTTAGTTTGGGCTGCGTTTCCGCCGCGGGAGAGAGACGTAGGGGGCGCGAAGAAGGAATTTTATTTCCAACTGGGTCCCTTTTATTTCCTCCAAAGGTCCAGAGTCCTGAGAAGAATGAGAGCTCAGCTCAGCCCTCCAGAGGTTGTGCTTCTTGGCTGGCCTTGGGTTTAGTCGTAGTGTCTGGGGCTGGGTCCGCCTTGGGGCAGTGACGCCCCAGACCTCTGAACTCAGCTTCTGGGCTGCCTCTCACCGCGTCCCCACGTCTCAATCCCAGGCTCCGCTATGAGAACCCCAGGAATAGTGCCTTCCCCCATCATCCACGGGATGGGTGTGAGGGAATGTGAAGGATGCGAGGGCCATTGCACCGCTGACGATCTGGCGCTACTTCGGTGCAGCCGATTCAGTGGTTCATCACAACGAAAACTGCTTCTTGTCTGTTATTTCGTCATTGCTTCGGGCACCTCTGAAAGGTGGACAGGTCTGTGTTATCACTCCATTTTAAAGATGGGGGCACCGAGGCCCTGGAGAGGAAACGCCTTGTCCGGAATCCAGCCAGACGGGAATAGAGAATCCAGACATCTGGTTTTCCCAGAATTCCACGTTCCCCCAACCCGCAAGGCAGCGAGAAGGGAGAAGCTAGCAGCGGGGAAGGACCAAAAGGGGGTCAAGTTAGGTGAGGGCTTGCTACCTCTTCCTCAGCCTGCTTGGGGAGGGGACAACTGGGAGGACAGACCCCTGCAAAGATCGAGCCACGTGAGAGCACGCATCGCCTCCGGCCGCGCGCCTCGTCCCCCTCCCCTCTTTGTTCGCACCTCTGCGCCTGCGCAGTTCGACAAATCTGGCGCTGTCCCCTTCAGCACCACGCGGAGTCCGCGCCGCCCCACCCCGCGGTGAGCCCCGCGCGCCCCCGCCTCTCACGTCCTCGCGCCCCCTGACTGCCCTAACAGACCCCTTCTTCCTTCCGAGGTCACCATCTGCCCGCCCTGGCCCTCCTAAGGAGAGTAGTTGCCATAGTAACTCGAGCGGCGCTTTCTTAAAATAGCAGGGCCCCCTTCTACCCTGGCCAAGGGCACAAGGGTTGCCTGTCCCTCACGTATTCCAGTCCCGAGGTCATCCCATCTAACCTCTTACACCTTGGCAAGGGTGACGACACCTAACTCAGGCAGCAAGGAAGTTCTTCCTGAAGTCTGATTTAACATTCCCCTGCTGCATCCCGGGAGGGTGGTTAGGGTTGGGTCTCCTGAGTCCGAGACTCAAAACCCCTGGCGGGTTCAAGAGGGTGTTCCCTAGATCTCCTTTCCATAGTTGATGGTCTCCTGGATTTAGGGGGCGGGTCCAGTCTACACCCATACCGTGTGCTTGGTGCGGCCGCGTGCTCGTGGGGGCGGGAGCGCGTGTGGCATGTAACAGGTCATGTGGCAGCCTCCTAGGGACACGCGTGGGGTCTGGGGCGGGACACGCGTGTACAGCCGGGCCTTACGTGTGGCTCGAGGGGCGGTGGGCGAGAGAGACGTGGACACAAGTGGGGTGGGGCACGTGAGGGTCTGGGGAATAGAAGCAAGGGTTTCATGCGTCCTCCTCCTGGTCTGGGGTGGGTCTTAGGTTGGCGGGAGAGCCCAGCAGGGACCTAGCGACAAGGGGGTGCTGGCAGCCTCCAGGGCTCCAGGCCCTGGGAGAGGGCGGGGGCTGGGGGGGGATTAGCGTTGCCTGTGCGGTGCGTAGGGGGTAGGGGGAGGGACTGAGAGGCGGGCGGGCCTGGAGCAAGCGGGAGCCGCGCTTCCTTCACAGCTGAGCTGGGCCCAGCCTCTCCTCTGTCTCTCCTCGGTCTCAGCTCTGGGCGAGCAGCGGTGAGTACTGAGGTGGCGTTGAGTTGGGGCTGCACTGGGTATGCGCTGGGACCCCATTGAGCTTCCAGAACCTGCCTGGCAGGGTTGCTGTTCCTGACCTCTGCCCCTCCCCTGCACTGCCACCAGAGGCCCCCTTACCCGGTTATGGTCTCTCTTGGCCCGGACAGGATCCGTCATACCCCTGGGGGACGAGGGAAATGAGGAATATGGTGCAGGTTCCCCTCAAGAGACCCCAGTGACTAGTGGGGGGAGGGGAGGGTGTGTGTCCCTGCTTGAGTGTGTAAATGTACATCTGTATGTGTATGTGACTGTGAGTATTAGGTATCTGAGTGTCTGATACACCTGGACCTCTGTGTGCACTGGAGGGTAACAGCCTATATATATATATTTGGGTACCTCTTTGTGTGTTACTGTTTGATGATGGTGTGTGTGTAAAACAAGCATGTGCCTTTCCATTACACACATATTTGTTATGACTATGAGAGTGCATGAGGGTGTGTCTTTGAGCAGTGTGTGTGTCTGTGTCTGTGTATGCCAGAGGGTGTTACCTATGAATGTGTTTGACTGTGTACTGATATAGTTGTCCTTATGTATGTGTGTGTGCATGTGTGTGTATATGTGTGTGCCTGTCTGTACCTGTATGGAGAAAAGAATGTCCCTGACTGGGTGTGGTGGCTCACGCCTGTAATCCCAACACTTTGGGAGGCCGTGGCGAGGGGATCCCCTGAGGTCAAGAGTTTGAAACCAGCCTGGACAACAAGGTGAAATTCCATCTCTACCAAAAATATAAAAATTAGCCAGGTATGGTGGCAGGTACCTGTAATCCCAGCTATTCAGGAGGCTGAGGCAGGATAATCACTTCAACCTGGGAGGTGGAGGTTACAGTAAGCTAAGAGCACCATTGCACTCCAGCCTGGGCAGCGGGGGCGAAACTCCACCTCAAAAACAAACAAAAAGAATGTCCCTTTCCCATTCTGTATACATATATCAGGGGTAGGAGCCTTTGCTCAGGCCTTTCTCCCTACCTCCATGCTGTGCCTCTTAGCCCTTCAGCATCCCTATATAACCCCTGGTCTTCTTCCCTCTCCTTCCAGAAGACCTGAGTTTCCCTTCCCTGAGTGAGGGGACTCCATAAGAAAGACTATAGGGGTCACAGGACTGTGTGATGGTGACAGTTGACTGACACCCTTGCTCCAGAGGGTGGGGTACCAACTTCCCCATACCAGCAGTAGCCCCAAAGTACCAGTAGCCCACTCAACTTCTGAAGTTGCTTCCTCTTTCCTCCCAGGGTGATGCTCAGGGCCCCAGGCAGAAGGAAAGGAGCCAGGGGCCCACCGGGTGTATAACTCTTTTCTCTTCAGGCCTCTATGGAAGTAGCCCCCAGGCGTGGGATCATTGATCTCATATTCCCAGGGTGAGCTAGGTCCCTGGTACTCAGAGTCTGCAGCCAACTTTCCCTTCCCTATCTCTGCTGTCCTGTCCATCTAACTCCTTGGCAGTTCACCCCATGCTCCCCTTCCTCTCTTACAGGCCTGTCTGAAGAGCATGCAGCCCCCTTACTCCCCGCCTGGCCTCGCCATCCCTGCCCCCCCAGCCTGACCCCCGGCCCCAGCATGGCCCAGGGTGCCATGCGCTTCTGCTCAGAAGGCGACTGTGCCATCTCCCCACCACGATGCCCACGCCGCTGGCTCCCCGAAGGCCCGGTGCCCCAGAGTCCCCCAGCCAGCATGTATGGCAGCACAGGGTCCTTGCTACGGCGAGTGGCAGGTCCAGGTCCTCGAGGCCGGGAACTGGGACGTGTGACAGCACCCTGTACACCTCTGCGTGGTCCCCCCTCACCCCATGTTGCTCCGTCACCCTGGGCACCCTCTTCACCCACTGGGCAGCCCCCTCCTGGGGCCCAGAGCTCTGTGGTCATCTTCCGCTTTGTGGAAAAGGCCAGCGTGAGGCCACTGAATGGGCTACCTGCTCCCGGGGGCTTGAGTCGGAGCTGGGATCTGGGTGGGGTTTCTCCCCCCAGGCCCACCCCAGCCCTTGGGCCTGGCTCCAACCGGAAGTTACGGCTGGAAGCATCCACATCAGACCCACTTCCAGCCAGAGGAGGCTCGACCCTACCTGGCAGCCGGAACCTTATACATGGGCCACCAGCCCCACCCCAGGTTGGAGCAGATGGGCTTTACTCCTCTCTCCCCAATGGGCTGGGGGGCCCCCCTGAGCGCCTGGCCACACTCTTCAGAGGACCTGCTGACACTGGATTCCTGAACCAGGTATGCAACTTCCCCTGGGCTCCCCCAGCCCCCAGTGAAGGGCCAAGGTTCGGCCCCCTGTCAGACACAGACTTGTCTGCTGGTCACTCTGAATCCTTTAATCTGTCCTAAATCTGCCTCTTTCTTGCCCTCTGTCTCTATGTTTCTGCACCTCCATCTCTGTCCCTGCATGTTTTAATTTGTTTCTGCCCTATATTCTTGCATCCTTGTATGTCTGGCTTTATCTCTGGGTGCCTGTGTTTCCCTCCTTGGCTCAGGGGGATACCTGGTCCTCCCCCCGGGAAGTTTCCTCTCATGCCCAGAGAATTGCTCGAGCTAAATGGGAATTCTTCTATGGCTCCTTGGACCCCCCCAGCTCAGGTAAGGCCTG